TCTCAGTTAGCCATACACCCCTTAGCGTCTCAGTTAGCCATACACCCCTTAGCGTCTCAGTTAGCCCAAAAAGCACCATTAGAAGAAAGTAGTGACTTGGTGGAGAAATAGTATTTCAAAAGTAGTTTTGTAACAAAAGGTTATAATAGTTCATTTAAATTTTATGAATTTGAACAGGAAACTTGTTTCCTACGCGGTGTTTCCAAACACCACGGATACCTCATGTGGCCAGCAGCCCAGAGCGGAGGCAATTCGAGGCAGCGATGTGGAGAGCGTGTGAGTCTGTAAGACATGGTGGTGTATTCATAAAGACCCACATCTGAAATGGGAGGGGGGCGTGTGACCACAGGCACGGCGAGGGAGGAGCGGGGCAGCAGTTCGGGGAGGGCGTGGGTCCCATCCTGCTCGATGACATCAGCTGCACGGGGAAGGAGCCGGCACTCGTGCACTGCGGTCGCCGCGAGTGGGGGAAGCACGACTGCACCCACAGTGAGGACATCTCCATCTCCTGCAGTCCCCAGCGCCTGGCCCACGGCATCCCGCCCAGTAAGCCCCCCCTTATCCGGCTGTACGGCAAGCAAGGCAGGGGACACCCTGGACAGGGCTCAGTTATATTTACAGAACAAATATTCATTTAGCAGCCACTTTATTCAAAGCAACATACATCCAAGGGACTAGAATCGGTGGAGCAAGTGGAGAGCGAATCCAAAACCCAATATGCAGGATGCATTTTCGAGAAAATGGTCTCAAAGTTCTTCGCAGATCACATGAGAAATGAATGAGTCTTGGTGGGTTTTTGTTAACATATGATGAGATGATTTTAGCTCATCTCAAAAACAACAAAAATTTGCTCTTCATTTGGGGTTAAGGGCCTTGCTCAAGGGCCCATTGATGATCACGGCATTTGAACCAGGAACTTTCCACATACCTCCCCAAACATCCCTAAAACCAGACCCGTAGGCAGAAATAAATTTCATGGGGTGTCTTGCAGCCTCACTGATAGGTCCCCCTCAGTAGATATTGCTGGCGGGAGGGCATCAAACAAATTTCAGGGGTGTTTCAAACGCCTGACTGTACTTCTTGTCTCCTTGCCAGAAACCCGGAAACTCCTGCTCTAACCCCCAGCCTGTCCACACGCACAGTCTGACATATGCATCTACATCACACGCAGCTTAGAGACGCCGGTCTGCCTGACCTCATGCTTTGGGGCTGCGTCGAGAAACTGGAGTAGCTGCAGGAAACTGACACAACAGTCAAACTCACAGAAGTGCGACTGAACCCCCAAACCAGGCTGCTTCGGAAGGTAGAGTAGGCTTAAGTTAGATCACGTCTTGCTGACTAAGTTCACTTCAAATAATGTTTTTTCCAGCTTCCTATTCTTTTCTCTCCCCCCCCATTCCACCTCCTCACACGCGCTCCTCCTACCCTTGAGCCGTATGGCTTCTGGAAGTAATTCCGTGGTGGTATGATAATTACGGTGGCTGGGAAGGACAAAGTCGATGTTAATTATAGGCCCATAACTGCGGTTCCTTTCGAGAAAACTGCAGAAGTGTCGTCTCTTCTTGTCTTTGTCATCGGGCTTCCGGAAATCCGCTCCCGCTGGTCGGGTTAGAGCGCGATCGAGTCGACTGGGGCTCTGACTTCGATCGAAATGCTTTAGGGCATCATCGCTGCCTCCCATCCGGGAAAGTGGTTTGTCAGGAAAGCGGATCCTTTGACGAGGAGGCTAATGGGGACGGCCTCGTATTTTGAAAGGCGTTTTGAGGAGGAGAAAATCGTGCTTCCATACTCGGAGTGAGTAAGCTTACCTTAGGGAGAACAGGCATCCGGAGGGAACCAGTAACTGAAGCAATGGAATATGAGCTGTCAGCTGACTGCATGCAGTAATCCCACCAGTCCTGGCGCAGGAAGCCGTCTCCTTCCCACCAAAATCTTAAAATGCAAAGGCAACAATCATAATTATCATCAGAGGTCACGTCTAGGTTCCTCTGTGTCCTCACACGCTATTTCACAAAAACATGAAAGAAATTCCAATGGTTCCTGAGGTTCACAGCACGTGGGGCTGACTGATTAAAAATAGCAGCCCATCTGTAGCATTTTCCTTCTTTCCAGTAGCAGTGCCACAGAATGACGCCTTCTCGCTTATTGTAGGGCCATAATTAGTCTTTAAGAATGCAGCCAGGAATTAACACTCAGTGGCTTTTACCTACGTGATGCGGAGGTAATTATTTCATCTGTTTTGACTTTGCTGTCAGCATATATTTTCCTTGAAGTGCTAAATACACCAGTCGGATCGTACGATTTGTTTGTGTGAAATTATATTCAGCTACCGGCAAAGTAATTATTGAAACCACTTAAAGGACCTCTGATGTAGCAGTCGTATAGTTTTACTTTGTTCCTTTAAGCTGTGCTTGCCTTTGAAATTTCAAAGCCACTTTAACCTTCTGTGTGACACAGAGCAGTTTGAGAACTTTGCTGGATTCGAAGTTCAGGGCAAGCACAAAATGGTAGTCTTCATTCGTTTTCAACATGACAAAACAGAAAATAAAATCAATACAAGGGGCAGGTCATGCCTTTCAAATTTTTTTGACAAGCATGCAAAGAACAGGGCTGTTGCTTGGAAACATTTTTTTGGAAATTTATTGCAGTTGAATAAACCCCAGAGTTATAAACAAGAAATAAATGAAATTAATAATAAAAGGTTGCAGGTTTGATTCTGTGTGCGTGTGTGTGTGTGTACTGTATACTTGCGTATGTGTGTGTATGTGTATATATTTGCGTGTGTGTGTGCATGTGGATGTGTCTATGTGTATACTGTACTTGTGTGTGTGCGTGTATGTTCATGTATACATGCATGTGTGTGTATACATATGTGTGTGTGCGTGTGTGTGTGCATGTGTCTGTGTATACTGTACTTGTTTGTGTGTGTGTGTGTATGTTCATGTATACATGTGTGTGTGTGTATACATATGTGTGTGTGTGTGCATGTGGTTGTGTCTGTATGTATACTATACTTGTGTGTGTGTGTGTATGTGCATGTATACATGCATGTGTGTGTGTATACATATGTGTGTGTGTGTATGTGGAGTTTTGACACTTCTCCCATTTTTGTCCAGGCTTCCTCCATCTAATGCGATTTCTTAGAAGACCCCAAGAACACGGGGTTAGCTGAATCGGTGCCTCTAAATGGCTAATAGTGCATACGTGTCCTGCAATAGACCAGGCCTCCCATCCAGAGTGTCTCCTACTGTGTGGCGTGTGCTGTGTGAGATCGCAGCTGTATACTGAGTAAGTGGTCATGGAAAATGCCTTCATTCATGAGTAAACAATTAGGGGCTAAGTGGAGCAACAGAACCACATGTTATTTCGCAGTTGGTGTTCTGAAACTCTTCACATTCTGCCAAAGTTTATTTCAGGATGTTTTGAGTCTTTGGTCCAGTTTACTTCGAGGTCCGGACCTAGAGTTATGGAGTTATAGTCGCAGCCTGTCCCCTGCATTGCGGACGTGCGATGAGCGGAAATTTTAGCGAGGAAGCTATGTAGCTTGTGAATCCTCTTCAACAGGCAGCCAATTAAAAACCATCTCTCTGGGCATCAGTGAAAATCGTACCATGGGTTGTAATCAACAGTGGCATGCAGGAAGACTCGACAATGTTTGGCACAGCATAAAGCCAGGTGCGTCCCTAACATGTAGGAAGTAAACAATCTTAAGCTCGTTTAAAAAACACTGCCTAGACAATCCAAACGAAATTCATTAGACACCAGAACACCCATTAAGATCCCATCTGGGATGATGGCTGAAATTCTCTTCCCAAAGGATGGAAGTCATTGTGTCTATGTAGTACTGTCAGGAAAACAAATGATCATGTCACAGAAATTACTTTATGACAATACATCTGTTGTATTTGTCATGGGAAAATTGCATTACCCATTTACATTTTCAGTGATTAGCAATAATTATAATTTCATTGTTATCTGAATAATTAATTTGTTGTGCATCAATCGTATGCTTTAACAGCCTGCAGTTTGTTGGTTGTTTATAGCACATCATTAATTTAATGTGTTGCATAAGCTGATGAATTTGTATATGCCATTCAAGAAAACACGCTCAGAAAAGATGTTTCTCATTTGTAACTGGAAAGAACCAACAGTGCACATATTTTATTAATATCAGTATTTAATTTGTGTGCAAATATTCTCTTGATATATAATTTTTTCTCCCTGCTTTATCTTTACATAATGCCCACATTATGAGATGCTGTAAATTACATTTTCTACTGTACATCCGTGCCTGACTTCAGAAATATTCTCTAAATCATCCAGGGTTATTTTTGCCAGGATGGAAACTTATGCATTTCTTGTCTCTGGAGATCAATCGCACGCACAGGTTGCCCAGTAAACTCGAAGGCATTCTGTTACCATAGCAACCCCGTGCAATCTCCATGACACCGAAAACAAAGTCGGAAGAATTTCTGCCTCTCTCATATGAAGTTGTCACTGTGTCTTACTGCCTGTTTTCATGTCCTTGTTGAGTGGCTTGTTTATTTTTTATGTTTTAGGGTGCGCTAAATTGTTATTTTACAACAGAAGAGCAGAAAATTTCTCCCAGTTGTGCAGTGGAAGCTAATGCTCCCAACTTGTGGATAATTTGGCCTCAGGAACCTTGCTTGCACGTTTCTGTAGAGCTGGAAAAATTAAAATTCTTTAAGAAGAATAATATAATTAATCTGATAGCCTAATGAGTAGTTTGCTTAATTACTATGGTTTCCCTTCTTAACTAAAAATCCTGAAGGTTCTACTGCTTTGAACCGTTAACCTGCTGGAAGGAAGGAGCTACACGAAGGAGATGAGTTCAGATCCCTTGCTATAAATCTAGGCTAGGCTAATGTATAAACCAAATCTGACCACTTAAACCAAAACACCAGGAACGATTTCACCATGTCCGCTCCTGCCACATCGGGGAGTCAGTAGCCAACGTAAAGCCTCTTGTGGTTGTTTGGTTTTGGTCGGTTACCTCAAGCACTGAACTGTATGCCATTGCTACAGGAGGAAGTGAAAGCGCAGTGCGGGCTTTAAACTAACTGCCAGTGTCACTTTCGTGTCATTTTTGGGAAACCAGGAGGCCGGTGTGTAATTACACTTAGGATCTACTGACAGTTCAAGATAAAGCTCTGATGGGTACTCGCAAATGAGCAATGTACGGGGTCCGCTTACCATTGGGTCAGTGCGAATAAAGTCAACATTCCAGCGAGTGTTATTATTTATTAATAGTCCTGCCTAAGTCAGTGTTTTTACTAAAGTGTTTTTGGGATTCAAGACAACTTGTCCACTAACAGCTTGTAAAATTATTTAATTTCCTGATGTGGAAGCACACACAGAAAAAGTCACTTCTTTCCTGGAAAACCTTAGACTGTGGTTTAGTGTGGAATCTGGGTGCTTCAACTTAGGGTGCTTGTCACCTCAGTGATAGCGGTGGTTAATACATTAACAGGTCATGTCACCCGTCATGTGCAAATACTGAACCCTCCCGCTCCATACCGGTCCACTGCTGTTTTCGTTAAATGTCATCACAGATCCCCACAGAGTGAGACACATTTGCGTCGATGGTGAGATACGTTTAAAATGTGCCATGCTACAAAGTAACACTTCGCACTAACATTCGACGTGATCACCGGCGTCAGTCATCAACAAATGATTCAGCTCCAATTAAACCTAATTCATCTCTTTCGGAGTCAAAACTGTTATGACAAAGAGCTGTACTGATTTCATTGGCTAAGGCATCTCACATGCAGTGAGAATCACAGATAACTGGCTTGTCTGAATTTCTAGTTTTGCTCACTGCTGTTAGAATATAAAACATGACACTGGTGTCAGCCACAGTATACCATTCAGAAAATTTTCAGTTGGGTCAGAACTGACCCACTCACCGATCTCCATGTGTCCATTTCTGTCGCAGGTTTGCCCCTCCGGCTGGTGGGTGGAGAGAATCCGAAGGAGGGCCGGGTGGAGGTGCTGATCGACGGACAGTGGGGCACCATCTGCGATGATGGATGGACCGACCAAGATGCAGATGTGGTGTGCCGGCAGCTCGGTTACACGTGAGTGGGACCCCCATTCATTGTTTCTGGAGCCCCAGTCAAAAAGTCACTTTGAGCCAGAGGTGGAAAGTTCAGGAACAGAAAGTAAAAATCCACACCAAGATTTTGTTTCAACCAACCAGTTGAGTACTCTGTGACTGTGACTCTTTATACTCAACTGGTTGGTTGAAACAAAATCTTGGTGTGGATTTGTACTTTCTGAATCTGAACTTTCAACCTCTACTTTGTGACCCAAGATGTTTAGAAAACTAAGTAAAGTCAGAAGATCATAGCTAGCTGCTTCAGCATCTCCTACATAAGAAATGTGTTTCAGTAATATTTAGTGTAGCGACTGTCTGAGGCCAACAGGGGGCCCCCAAATCTCAGGGGCCCCATGCTAATGGGTGGTTTGAGTGGTGGAGAGCACTGCCGTTACTCGTAGCTGACTGCCCGTCATACACCAGGGGTCTGTGGTTTACCCACCAAAATGGAGCATGTGCAAACTGGTGAAGATCCTATGAGAATGTGTCTGGGTTTTGGCGGCAGAGGGTGGGGTCTGATATTACAACTGTGTGGAAACTTCTGACCTGAGTTAGAGACTGAACGGTGAGTCGGGTTTCTCCGGAACGGTGAGGCTGTGCGATGATGGTGAGTCGGGTTCCTCCGGAACGGTGAGGCTGTGCGATGATGGTGAGTCGGGTTCCTCCGGAACGGTGAAGTACTCTCCTGGGCATACTTAGTTATTCCCATTTCCATTCAGGCTTCATTTATGCCCATTATACTACAGAGTATTTCCCATCACACTCAAATATAAATAAAAGGGATTATTTTGGCATTATTCAATTTACTATTGAAAATTAACTGAATTCATGAAATATTCATTAAATTCAAACAGCGTCCACTACAACATAAAATACATACAATTATATTCACACGCGTGCACACACACACACACACACACACAATTTAAATATTTTTCTCTTATATACTGAAAAGGAATTTTCCATATATAAGGGCCTCCTCTGCTAATGCATTCTTAACATGGAAGTTAACTCGACGTTACTTTTTGCTCGCTTTGGACTGGAAATGCCTGAAATGATATCAGACTCTTTTCATGCAAAAAAAAAAAAAAAAAACCCTTCATAGCTGTGATGGATGGGCAGCCGTTAGAAGCGCTTCAAGCACGAGGAGCATCTCGTGGGGGCCAAGCACAACACATCGGGCGCTAGCACGCTAATGCAAATCACCGTTTCACATCAGGTGAACTGGGTTTATTCAAACTGATCCAAAATAAGCCATTACGATGCTGTGAGCCTGTGTTCGCTTACAATAGCCAATGAGCCAAATACTCTCCCACCTCCTTTCGTTCTCCCCTGGAGATGGATAAAAGTCTCAAGCACCTGCAAAGTATAACATAACTCTAAAAATGCAGCCATGGCACACGGAAGCAATAGGAATTACCACTGGTTAGGTTCAGCTGTAGATCAGGGAAATTTCTGTGTACCGGATGACGGCTTTTTGCTGTAGGTGTTGATCTTGTATCCTATGAAAACTCCTGAGAGTGATTTTAGGATATTTTAATGTGGAAGGCATAAGAGGAGCCATAATTCATGCAGAGGGGCCAACCTTATCATTAGCCAATGATATGTTTTGGAAAGGTGACTGACAGGGGAGGAGAACTGCAAGGGCCAATCAGCTTTCAGCTTGGGCTAGTGCCCCTGTGGCCCCACCCCTGTACACAGCTCCGGTATGATGGTGGGTATTGTAGTGACACCTTCTATTATAACTTCTATAATAAAATGAAGCAGTGAGCCTAATACTAGAAGCATCCAGAATTTTCTAGACTGTGTATAGGTCCCTGGATATTTCATGACCGAGTTTCTTAATATCTGACATTTTTGCAAACTGCAAGTGCAAAGTCACGCCTGAAAGACTATTAGAAATATAGGCGCATTGTATCTGCGCATCGTGTCTGTCTTTGTATTGGGTGTCTTTTGAGGTAACTGTGTTTGTGTCTTCACAAAGTATCTGTCCGCCTTGGATTCACAGTGCTGTGACAGGATATTAACACCAAAAACCTTGAAAAGCACCAAGACAAAGGCTAATGAGGCATGAATGAAAGAAGAGGTTAGAGGTCATTAGCGAGTGGTACCTCTCTAATATCCTCGGTTCCTTATCAGACAATGCAAAAGTCTCACCTGAAAGCTAGACTCTTGTTTTCATAGCTATTTTCATTACAGGAATCTATCACTGCAATTATTTTTAACTGGGGGGTAATTACTCACTAGGACGAGTGTCTACATCTGTTCCCTTGTGAATCACAATGATCCAGGCATCAGTGACGTAATGACGACATTCTTCTCCCACAATCCCAAGTGGCCTAGCCAAAGCGAGGACCATGGCCTACTTCGGGGAAGGTCAAGGGGCCATCCACGTGGACAACGTGAAGTGCACGGGGGCCGAGCGGTCGCTGGGGGACTGCATCAAGGAGCCGGCGGGCTCGCACAACTGCCGCCACAGCGAGGACGCGGGAGTCATCTGCGACTACGGCCAGAGCGGCAACGCAGCCACTAGCCAAGGTCTCCTCATTGCATGGGCTCTTTGTTTTTATTTCACCATTTTCATGTTTTCAAAACTGAAGAGTATTAATAGGGTACTGCTTTACAGTAAGGCTACCCTTATAAAGGGTTTATGAATGGTTTATAATCAGGTTATTAACTGGGTTGTAGCACTTCAGTATTCAGTAATCAGTATTCAGTAATCAGTATTCAGTAATCGGTATTCAGATTACTTTATTTCTCCCAGATGGGCATTCAGTTCCACAACCAACCCAGTACACAAATAAAACTGAATGCAGGACAACATTCAAACATTAATATGCCACAGACAACAGATCAGCATAAGGGTACAAGGACACAAGCAATGGACTCACTCTGATATTCATGGGTCTGAGTGAGAGAAAGCAAACAAACAAATAAATAAAGGAACAGAAGAAGAAGTTTGTAAATCATTAATAACACTGATTTTATTTTTATATGAGTTACGCTATTTATAAGTGGCAGAAGGGAGCTTTATTGTGAAGTAGTACCTTTAGTAGGGAGATTTTAGAAAACATAGCTAGCAAAGTAGCATTTTGCTTTATAAGCATTCGAAGAGCAAATTTCCAAAGCTCAGTCCCCAGGATACATTTTTATAAAAATTTCTGTGGACGTAGAGAGTTTTGGATATAAGCTCTTCAACCGCTTATAAAGCAAAATGCTCATTTGCTGGCTATGTGTTTCTAAAATCCCTTCTTTGGATTGCATGAGGTCTGAGTGAGATTTGATTCCCGACACTGTAAAATGTGCTGAGGAAGCCTGGCATTAGGTCTCATCTCAAAAACAACAAAACGTGGACTGAGTGCTTCAACTGCATAATGCTGAGCCTAGTACTGTAGCCAGAGAAATCACAAGCCAGACCTGCGCTACTGTGCAACGTGAGGACTTTAGCAGTGCAGTTCTTAACCGGCTCCAGGTCAATGCCAAAGTCAGCACTCTCGTTGAGGTTGGACCATCTGACCCAGTAACAACCTCTTTCTGTCTGGCTTGCGTGACACCACAAATCCGAAATTCTCCATCTGATTACGAGAGCGTGACAGTTGGCTATCCTGCCACAGCTGCAAGCCTCACGTTAAAAAAAAAAGAAAAGAAAAAAAGTAAAAAAACAAACAAAAACAATCGCCATATTGTTGGACGGAGATGAGGCGGAGGACGTGTCAAACATAGAGAACACAAAACCAAACACTGTTTTGGAGAATCTAAACATACATCACTAGAAAAATAATCACTGGCCTGAGATGAGGTGTAGTGGTGGTCGGATTTAACACACACAGCCACATTGTTTAACACAGATGGAGGGAATAATGAATAACAAACGGCTGAAAACTCTGGGGCCTGTTTTTAATACCGCCGCGTAGTGGGCTCTCTGTCACGCCTGTGCTCCCCTGTAGGATAGGTTAAACTGCGTTCTATACTTTCCCCATCTGGACAAACAGTGCGAGGTTCTCTTACGACTCACCCGAGAAGGGTGGTGTGGTGTGTGAGATAAAGGGGGGGGGGGGGGACAGGTGTGTGGCGGATATTTCACCCGAAGCTTTCCGTGTAAAGAGAGAGGAGGAAATTCTTTGCCGGTCATTCGGGGGCGGGCGGGCTTTCTCGTATATTGTTCTTAACGGAATAACGTAATGTCACGTTTAGCTTAGCTTGTGGTTTATCCATTAGCCTTTTACCGCACGAAACGTTCCCATGGAAGCAAGACTTGCTGTCTTTATATATGTTGGGTTTTGATCAAACGCTGTGATTTCAGAGGCCCGATTCTGTCCCCCTTTCCAGACCCTGCGCGCCCAGCGTGCGGAATCCGCCTTGTGCGGCCGCGGCAGAAAAGAATTATCGGTGGGGAGAATTCCTTAAGGTAAGGCTTTCGGAATGCATCGCAGATTAATCCGGGATGCCGTCGTGAACGGGGGAAAATTCCATCTGGACGGAGCCGATTTCAGCCCGGTGCATTGCTGCTGGTTCTGGATGTAATGCAGATGTTGTGTTTAAGGAGCTCCGTGGCACAACATCAAGGTAAAAAAGAAGTGATGTGTGCCTTTGAGGTGAACCGCAAGTTATGCTGGATGATGGGGTCCGATTCTGCTCTCCAAGCACATTAATCTGTCAGCGGGAGCCGTGTTGTTTGGGACGGACAGAAAAGGGAAAGCAGGCAAATAAGAACCTCATGACGTGGATGTGGTCGGCTCTACCCGCGTCGTGTCACGTGACGGGAAATGTGCTTCTCCTGAAGGGTGTGGAGGGGGGGTCTGCACACTTGAGCCCCCCCTCCCACCACCCACATCGTGCTGCTATAAATCTTGACTGGCCTGCGTGTGTGTGTGTCTGTGTGTCTGTGTGTCTGTGTGTCTGCGTGTGTGTGTGTGTGTGTGTGCGCACGTTGCCTGTGTGCTTCCAGGGGCGGCTGGCCCTGGCAGGCCGCCATCCGGCTGCGTGGTTCCCCGGGTGACGGGCGTCTGGTGTGCGGGGCGACACTGGTCAGCAGCTGCTGGATCCTCACCTCAGCCCACTGCTTCAAGAGGTGAGGGATGCAGTTAAATAGAATAGAATAGAATGTTTATCTTTGTACATATACAATGAAACTCTGTGTAAGTTCCTAGCAGTGCTACATATTATAAAAAATAATTTTTAAAAGATAAGACAGACAAACAGATAGATAGATAGATAGATAGATAGATAGATAGATAGATAGATAGATGAGTGAATAAAAAATAATAACATTTATACCACGTCACTGTTGAATTCTTGAATCTTGAATGGTCACTTTTCCTTAAGCATACAACTTTAACGTTACTTAAAATTCCAAATGGACAGCACAGTTTAAAATTAAGGGAAACTTTTTTAATTATCAGTTGAAGAAAGTTGTTCCACAAATAAATACATAATAAATCTGCTTCACTGTGCTTCAGGTGGTTCTCTACTGAATTAAGATTCAGAGAAAGCTGAAAGGTTTGAGATTAAAGTTGGAAGTTTTGAAATTAAAGTCAAAAGTTTTGAGATTAAATTCAAAATAAAAGGAAAAAGTGGAAAATTAAAGTTTTTTACTTGAAGTTGAATTTGATGGATAGCTTCTCCTGGCAGACATGAGTCTTCTTTTCATGCAGAATGAACCCAAATAGCAGCTGAATATCAGGCATCTATATGGTGTCGTCATGTAAGACGACTCAGCTTCTACAGACAGCTCACAGTCACTCGCTGGTTCCTACCGGTTAACTTTCAATTGTTTTCTCAAAGGTTCATTTCGACATTAATCTTGAGACGTTTGACTTTAACCTCAAAAATCTGAAAATGGTTCATAATTATTTTCCTTTCAGGTGACCCTAGTGCTCTTCTGTGGTTCTTGGTCTCCTCAGACACGTGCTTAAAAAATTATAATTGTAATTAATTATAACGCATGACTTATAATATATATGTGCAGTATAACGCTGAATAGTGAGCCTATTACCGAAAATACGGTTCAGAAGAAAGAAGTAAAAATTGGCTTTGGTTAGGGGAACACAGGACCTCTGCGTTTGGACACGCCCCCACTCGAACCCATGGCCCTGGCGACAGGCTTTCTAGTGGGGTGGCGGCGTTCACTGCAATCCGAAACCTCTCACGAATAGAAATGAACGCCCGGCGGAGATTTCCTCTTCCCGCGGCCCGATTTACTGTTTGCACTTATCTGGGTCATAAAGCGCTCCCCCACGGAGAGCATGGAGCGCAAATAAACACCGTCCGCATGGGAGCCGTTCTGCGGGGATTCACGCGTAATGTGACCATTCCTGAATGGCAGAGCCCATCGGGGGATTGTAAATATTTGGGGGCCTCTCTGGGGATCAGGGGGGGGCACACAAGTTTGCTCACCAACTGAAACGCTTCCACATGCAGCCAGTCCTCAACTAACCCCCCCGCTCCCCAACACACACACACACACACACACACACACACACACACACAGACACAGACACAGAGCCCCTATTGGCTATCCTCTACTTATGCGATCGCTAAATTATAGGCTCTGGAACAGCAGTAAACAGCACTCTGACAGCCCCTAAGAACCCTGTGCTATTTAGGATAGCCCTATATGTGGCCCAGAAAGTGACTGCATTTATCTAAAAAAAAAGAAAAACTAAAACCTTCAGACGTGTTTACTTACGCTAAAATCTCTGTACCATGTGACTTTCAACCTTATCTTCAATCTCAGGAAAAGAAATCTGCCACGGTCGCTTTGCGAAATAATTGTGGATTTTCCCGTTGAATCGCATTTTTAAAAATGTATCTGACGGAAGCTTCCTTAGCATTTAACGTATATATTTTCAGTATCAATCACAATTCCCCACACACCTGGTGAATCACTTATGCCTCTGTTTACGTAAGATGAGTGTTTATATCGTATTACTAACATATAGCGAAACCCTGCCGAATTATGTTCATGAATGGAAACAGTGTACAGTAAGCTGTTATATTTATGACCTGCGTTTTCAGTTGCTTTCAAGTCATTTATCATACAATTACCATACTTTGGCACAACTTTGGGACAACTTTGTTGTGAAAGGTGCTATATAAAAAAATAAATGTATGTATTGTATTGTATCAATATGCATTTTTTATTTACCACGGACATAGTATGTAAAAACATAACCTGCAAAGTGTTTTTTTTACCCACAAACCAAACACGAGTCTCGCTGCAGACGCGTTTGTTAGTTCACAATCCCTGAAGTCGTGTAGCTAGAGCACATTTAGAAAGTGTTTGGTTGCAACTTGGGCTCCGCACATGGCTCTCAATGTTAAGCGTTTCAAAACGGTTTTATGAAAATAGCCCGATGACAGACGCTCCATGCAACATGACCGGGGACGTAGCAAAGTAAATGTCATATTATTTTTATGCATCTTGCCTCCATTTGGCTGCTGCCCAAGGATAATGAAACGACAGCCTTCAGGCAGTTACAGGCTGAAAACACCATTGTCACATCAGACACGAGATTTGAAGAAATTACTTGATTTAGAACCTTGGTTTGTTGACATAGCGCCACTTTAGAGTTTCCCATCATAAAAATCAATAGCATTCACTTGTGCAAACATTACCTCTTCATGTGTCTCATACGATTCAGCACAGACCTTCTGTTGACTCTTAGCAATAGACGGAAAGTGTCTGAATATTGCTCTTTGAGGAAAACAAAATATAGCTGCTGGGCACTGAATTTATTTGAGACGTCGAGCTTTTCAGTGCCGGACATCGCAAGCAACATTAACTGACTAGGTGTCCAGAAGTCTTGTTGACTCACTGCCATCCAACGGCAGGAAGCGGCTCTGATTTCAGGATGTTGATTTATTTCCGGAAGGATCCTGACAGTGCAACAAGCCACCCGCTTTTGGCGGCTGCCGATTGCCCCTCTTCACCCCCTCTTTCCATCCATGGCCTGTTGGATGTAATTATTTTCCCGCGAGTGCTGATCTGTGACAGTCGGCAGATTGGTGTTACAGTACATGCAAAACCACAAGAATGCGGAAGGGACTGCAAAAATGCCACAGCCATACTGGCAAACCCGTGGTCGATGCAGACCTTGGAGACTCGCATCTGAAAGATAAATCTGCATCTCGCGAACATTGTTAACTCCCCTACAGGGGTGCCAGGGAATTCGCCAAGCGGAAATGATACTACGGAGCTCGTACCGAGTTACGTCTTTGGTTCATTCGAAACTCTGACCTCCGGGGGCCTTGAATAAATGCCCCCTATTACTTACAACATGATATGAGATCAGAGGATATTCTGTGGCAGAATGAGACGTCGGTGTAAATTCGGACCCGAGTGTGTGTTATTGATCTTCTGGGATTTGGGGAAGTTTGAAGTCTGAAAGCGTTACAAGGTTACAGGAGCAGGAAAATACCATGTAGTTGTTCCGCAATTGGAGTTTTCATATGGGGTCGTTCATATTGTGTAGGATTAGAGGCACACGTACATAATTTATTATATTGATATTTGATGGCTTTGTATTTGGTGATGAATAAACGATTCTGATTCAGTGACCACAGCATATCATTTCCAGTCCGTTGTTGTTTTTACTCAATTAAAACGCAGTCGTTACTGGTAACCTTTCATGTAAAAATAGGGAGTGCTGTAATAAGAGCACACTCCCATTCTCCCAGAGCCTGACACAGCTCTGCTTGTGGAGATGGGGGGATTTTAGCGCCATTGTGTCATGTGACCCGCACCCAAGCCGGCGACTCACATCGTGCCCCTTCTCACACAGGTATGGGAACAGCACAAAGACGTACAAAGTCAGAGTGGGCGACTACCACATCCTGGTGCCGGAGGAGTACGAGACAGAATACGCCGTGGAGGAGATCATCCCCCACCCCAGCTACGAGGTCCATAGTAACGACTACGACCTGGCGCTGGTGAGGCTATCTGGGCGGGAGGGCCGCTGTGTGACCTTCAGTCGCCACGTCCTGCCGGCCTGCCTGCCCGGACGCAGGGAGAAGGCGGCCCGGACCTCCTCCAGCTGTTACATCACTGGCTGGGGCGACACAGGTAAGAAGCCCCGCCCCCTGGTAACCGGGTTCACAAGTTCCCCGAGTCATGTGCGGGGCAGGCTAGTGTTTCAGGTTCCAGAGGCTTTGCACGACTTAAACACGACGGCACGCTCCGTAATCGAATATCATTAAAGGATCGCACTTCGGGCCTTGCCAGCCGTTTCCGTCAAGGGAAGCACGCACTCCGCGCACTCCGCGCACTCCTACCTCGGCTAGCTAGACGGAATCAAAGCGTTGCGATCCAAAGGTTCGGCGCATCTAATTCGGGAGCTTCAGTAACACATCCGTCTTCTTCTGGCATCCCGTCCAGCCCATCCACAGAATAAATCCCTTAAATCTCAGAGCAGATGAGTCCAGGTTGGCTTCAACCTCAATTAAAAAGCAGTTTTGAATGACATGAGGCAGAGTGGATCTTTTTTTGGTTCTCCACCCTAAATATCACTATGATTCACTTCTCTTCAGCCTGACAGCTGAAAGACATGGAATTGGACATTTTTGTGTAATTTATTTCTACAAATCCAGATTTTTTTGACATCTTGGACAGACAAAGGGCTGTCAGCATGAAAAGCTTTCATGGTAAATGCGTCCGCACCACTTTGACCTGCCAGAAACCATCTCACAGCTCCTGTCGCCTTCAAAATAATACTTTTTTTTGGTTCAGTGGGTAACCCAGTGCAGATTTGTTCCTCTTCATAATGCAACCGGCCTGAAGTTTTTTGGTTTTTTTTAATAATAGCTTTTTTTTTTTCCAAAAAAGTATCTTGTTTTGGTTGTCGAAATGTGCACACAATCATTATCTAGGGTCATATCCAAAAGGGCTGTCGTTGAACCAATGATTTATAATTCTTTGAGGAATTTTCTAAGGATATATTAACTGAAATTTGTGACTGTGTTGAGAATTTGTGGTGTGGTGCAATTTGTTCATGCTGGATACTTTGTGTGTGTGTGGGGGGGGGGGTGCTGGAGAGAACTCAGCATTTGAAGCCCTTGACATTTGGGTTTGGGCAGATAGGATGAGAAGAATTGCGTTAAAATATTAAACGTGTTTTTACAAGCTGCTGACTGTTCTGCCCCTGTGAACAAACGCGTCGTGGTTGTTGTTGAATGGCCAGGAATGGTGCGTGAAAGGCATCTGTCAGCTTTTTTGTTTGTTTTTCTGTATAGCTCATATAGCTAATAAAAGAAACAGACTTTGTATAACGCAAAAAAACACTTCCGAAAAGGTACAGGATATATATACAGTACAAACCGGTTAGACTATACCAGCAAAATTACACTGCGTAGTGTTTTACGTAGCTGATTAAACAATTTAGCGTAAATTTCTTGCGCGGTGGCTGGTCTTTTGGTTCCCGTGCCCTGAGTGAGCTCATGTCTCTCCCCAGGACGGGCATACTCTAAGACTCTGCAGCAAGCCGCCGTCTCCCAGCTCCACAAACGCCACTGCGAGGCCCACTACCCGGGCCAGTTCACCGCCCGGATGCTGTGTGCCGGCAACACGCCGTCTGAGCCCTGGGTGGACAGCTGCCGGGGGGACAGCGGGGGCCCACTGGTGTGCGAGCGGACTGGAGGCCGCTGGGTGCTCTACGGGGTCACGTCCTGGGGCTACTCGTGTCGACTGCAGAACTCGCCCGGCGTCTACACCAAGGTGTCTGCCTTCGTGCCCTGGATCCGCCGCCTGACGGGGCTGTGATGGCGCTCTAGGGGTCAGCTGAGTGTGGCGCGTAGGTGGGAGCAAGATTTTATGAACAAAAGGGTGTGTACAGGGGGCGGGGTCACAAGGGAACAGGCCCCGAGCTGAAAGCTGAATGGTTCACACAGTGTCTGTCCCCTGTCAATCATCAATTTAAAACATACGATTGGCTAATGATAATTTTGGCTCCTCTGTATGAATTATGGCCCCTCTTACGCTCCAGCTATATTCCTTTACTACACATCAGCACTTCTCTGTTAAAAGGGACCACATTCCGAATCCTAACAAAGGCACAGAATGGGCCGGGGGGGCTGCCTGTTGTGTTTTTTTCTTCTTCAAGCAAAAGCCCACGGAAATAAGAGCGAAACACATTTTTAATTCCTAACATGAAGCGACAAACTTTGCACTTTAGGATTTAAAAAATTCATCGAAATAGTGCGCAGTTAGGTGATGGGAACATTACCTATTAAATAGGTATGCACAATAAAAGATGTATTCAAGGACATCTTCATTAAAATGTCAATTGTGTACTACGTTAATGTTTAAGTGTCGCTTACTGTGCTTTAAATTATGCTCTG